GGGGAGGGAGGGGCAGAGGGGGGGGGGGGATGGAAGCCAGTGTAGGGATCGGCAGAGGGAGGTTGCAATCACTGAGCAGTTGGTTAGGTGAATGAGTCTAGCAGCTGCATTCATGGTAGACTGAAGGGGGAGGAGCCTGTGTAGAGGTCGGCCAATGATCTAATCATTTCCTTCTCCATCCAGAACTAGATACAAAGCAGTTTAATATTTCCCAGAAACTTTTCTATCAAACCAAATAAAAAAAAAAATTCACTTCCATTCCTCATAAAAGATAAAACAAATTCTCCATTTATAGCTTTGGAAATTGGAACATCATAAAAAAATCCACAAATGATACAAAGTTTCAATCTCGCCTCTTGATGAAGAAAGCTTGTACGGTAAATGTCGCCGTAGTAGGAGGAGCTACATTGTATCTAAACCTTGCATTGTACCGCGGCCCTCCTCAGACACTTGCCATGATCTAACCATCTCGCTCTCTCGTTACCGGCATCGCCATGACAACAGTCTTGTGGAATTACTATGTAAATATATGCCAGCAATAATATTGTTCCTGGGAAGGTGTAGCAGTGTGGAGTTAGATGACGGCCTCATTAGATATTCACATATTTATTGCTTACTACTTCGCGTGAAATATTGCCGAGCGCAGTAATTATAAACTTCAGAAAGAATTCGGGATGTAATATCGGCTACAAATAACTCGTTAGATGTTCCTCAGCGTGAGGAGACTGGAAATGTCTCTCAGCGTGGTACAGAAACGCCGAGCAAAAAATAAAAAAAACTCCTCCGTGCCTTCCCAACCCGTCAAATAAATGACCGAAGCGTCTCACGGCATGCAAAAGAAAAAAAAATGAACTACAAAATGTGCTGCCGCTCTGTGCTGACTGCTCGGGGATCACCTGACATGCTGAACGGGGGTGCGGAGGATTTAATTGGAGACATAAAGTAACAAGGACTAAAATCCATCATCGTAATGGTTCCTGATTGTGTTTTCATTGTCTCTGTGTTCACGCTGGCGTATTTATCCCCACTTCCTGTCCCTGCGACACTGGGACAGGAAGTGGGGGCAAATCTCACAATGGGGAGACAGCAGATTCTAACCCCTCTACACTGATGTAACTTCTACCCCTTCCCCACTAATGTATTCTCTAATCTCCCCACTGATGTATTCATGTTGGAACAGGAAGGAAGTGTGTCTATGGGAATGTTGGACCATTTGTGAGGTCAGGTAGTGATGTTGGGGGAGGGGCTCGCAGTCTCCGCTCTAATTCATCCCAAAGGTGTTCTATGGGGTTGAGGTCAGGACTCTGTGCGGCCAGTCATGTTTCTCCACCCCCAACCCCCCCCATCCATGTCTTTATGGACCTTGCTTTGTGCACTGGTGCGCAGTCATGTTGGAACAGGAAGGGGCCGTCCCCAAACTCCTCCCACAAAGTTGGGAGCATGAAATTGTCCAAAATGTCTTGGTGTGCTGATGCCTTAGTTCACTGGAACTAAGGGGCGGGGCCCAACCACCGAAAAACAACCCCCCTCCCCCATACTGCCCCCTCCACCAAACGTTACACTTGGCACAATGCAGTCAGGCAAGTACCGTTCTCCTGGCAACCGCCAAACCCAGACACGCCCATCGGATTGGCAGACAGAGAGAAGCGTGATTGGTCACTCCAGAGACCACGCCTCCCCTCCTCTAGAGTCCAGTGGCGGCGCGCTTTACACCGCGGCATCCCACGCTTTGCATTCCATGAAGCTCTCTACGCACTGTTGTTGTGCCAATCTGAAGGCCGCATGGAGTTTGGAGGTCTGTAGCTATTGGCTCTGCAGACAGTTGGAAAACGTCACGTGCAGGTCTGGTTATTATTAGGGCTGCGGAAATTAACAATTAATTTCTCGATTAATCGTTAATCTTTTTGATCGATTAAAACATTTTTGATCGCTAATGAAAATACTCACCTCTCCGCCGGCTTCCGGGAGTCCCGTTGGAGATCCGGTAACGTCACGGACATCGACGTCACCGGACTCCTCCCCCTTCCCCAAGTGGATCAGTCGGCTAACCAAGGGAAGGGGGGAGGAGTCCGGCGACGTCGATGCCCCCAAGTGGCTCAGTCGGCTAACAAAGGGAAGGGGGGAAGACTCCGGTGACGTTGATGTCCGTGACGTCATCGGACTCCTACCCCCTTCCCTTCGTTAGCCGACGGAGCCACTTGGGCCGGTGAGTTTGCCCAAGAAACTTTCTGCACGAGCGCCACCCGGGCATTGGCCTATACACATACAGCGCAGCAATGAAGTACAGGTATTCCTCACTTAACGACCGTGTTCCGTTCCTACGACCAGGTCGTTATACGGATTAGTCGTTAAGTGAGGAACTCTATACAGTACTGTACTGCATTAGTACAGTACAGTATAGCGTTGCCGATGTACAGTACCGAACAGTGTACTGTACATCGGGCAATGGAAATACTTACCGGGACCCGCAGTGAAGATCGAAGGACGTCACTTCCGCCGGCGACACGGCGCACTGACGCTGACGTGCAAGGTCGGAGGTCGATCGGCGGTCCGTCGTAAGTGCGAGTGGTCGCAAAACAGGTAAGTCGGTAAGTGAGGAACATCTGTAATGAATTGAACTAGGATCACACTAATCCAGCACGTTATTGTTCCGAGTTGCCCCACTCAAGCGGCGGCCATATTGAGTGGGGCACGTGAGATTAATAACGTGCTGGATTAGTGTGATCCGAGTTCATTGTATTACTTCAGCGCTGTGCTGTATGTGTATAGGCCAATGTAGTTGGATCTGTATGTGCGTTATCATTAATCGAACACGAAAATTGTAATCAGTAACCGCCCTAGTTATTATATATCTATGGAAGCGGTATGTGAGTAGAACTCTGAAGCACCTGCGGGCACTACACAAGACTGGCGCGGGTATCAGGGCACATGCAGAACCTGTGATTGGGTATAATTGTTGGAGTAACTGTGCGACTTGTATTATTTTCTGTGCAGGTCATAACTGATCAGACCATTGCTGGTGGCCCCCTGAGAATAGTTACTTTGTATACTTCCAAAAACGTCTTATTTATGACAATAACCTCACTGATTTTAAACGAAACAAGGAGCAGAGCCTGGAAATGGAGCGCGGAGGTAAAAAATCCGCCACAAGACCATAAAAAAAGCAGAGAGTGTGAAAAATATCGATAGGGAGAGTAAACGAATGTGAATGAAGGATGATAATGGACAGGAGCCGGAGATTGATGACGGCCAATCTGTGCTGTAAACTGATAAGATAAG